TTCCTATATATTTCATTTGTGCCACGGGTCGGGAGTTGAGTTCGGGATGAGTGCAGTGTGAGTGACGTGGGAGCTTTAAATTACGGCTGACCACCCGCGTGTATTTGACATGCGCTGCGAATGAGTTCCCTTTTTGGTAGGATATTACGTTTGGCTGTAAGTCAATAACGGTCAAAGAAATACTTGATGAAAGGCCACCCAGGCCACCAAAAGGAGCACGACTCCATTTCAATAAACCTCTGCTCACTTTGCCATCGAGCGTGTGTTTATATGTATGCCCATATAGCTGTACAAATACTCTGCCCGATTCGATGAATAATACTCAATCAAGCGCTAAAAGGCCAACTGTGTAAACGTGAAGAGTCGAGGCGGTCGCGTAGTAGCTTGTTGCACTCATGCTGGGTGCTTGCCACACAGTTGATGCTGGGGCAAAGGCCAGCTCTGCATGCAGTATTTATGAACTGTGTCTCAGTTGGCAATACCCTGGGCTACTTCGAGCATGCAGCCGATAACCACACCTACTCTGATAATACATCCAAAAAAAACTCAGTACAGACTCTGCACAGACTCTGCACAGACTCTGCACAGACTCTGCACAGACTCTGCACAGACTCTGCACAGACTCTGCACAGACTGCACTGAATATTTTACAGAATCTTTAACAGACCCTTTCACAGACTCTTTTTATGGACTCATTTCTTTCTTCTTTACAGACTCTTTTACAAATTTCTATACAGACTCTCCATTACAGACTCTTTAACAGACTTAGTTACAGACTCTTTTACGGACGCTTTAACAGACTTAGTTACAGATTTTGTTGTTTAACAGACTCTTTTACAGAATCCTTAGCAGACTTTTACAGACTCCTTTGCAGACTCTTTTAAATACTCTCGACAGACCCGTTAACAGATTATTTTACAGACTGCACAGATTAGTTAACAGACTATTTACCAGACTCTCTAGCAGACCCTGTTACAGACTTTCATACAGACTCTTATACAGACTTTTATACAGACTCTATTACAGGCTCTTTTATAGACTCTTTTACATGTCCTTTTACAGACACTTTTACAGATTCCTTTACAGACTCGTTTACAGACTCTTTTACAGACTCTGCACCCACTCATTAACAGATTATTTTACAGACTACACAGGTCCATTAACAGACTTTTTAACAGACTCTCTAGCAGACTTTGCTACGGACGCTAACAGATTATTTTACAGACTTTTGTAAATACTCTTTAGCAGACTGTTTTACAGACTCTGTTACATAATCCTTTACAGACTCTTTTATAGACTGTTTGACAGACTCAATTACAGATCATTTTACAGATTCTTTAGCAGTCTTCCTTACAGACCCTTTTACAGACTTTTTAAAAGACTTACATATACTGCCTTTGCACAGCCCCATTTACAGACTCTGCACAAACTGCATTAAAGACTCACTCACTCAGAGATTTCACAGACATTGCATATTATCACGTCATATTATCTTAAAAATACATACACAGCAGTGTTAACATTTTACAGTCAGATCTAGCCATTGGCAGTTAAACCTTTATCAACACATCTATAAATCTATAGCTATTATCCTATGTATTATGATATCTATAACTATGTCTCTATCTATAACTTAATTATTTCCATAGACTATATTATTTCAATGTAATCGAGCTGTTATCTAACTTTTCTCCATATACTATATGTCATTATGCCCAATGTCCAATGGGGCTCGTCAAAGGGCTTGCGAGTGTTGGACAAGTTAAATCAATCTGACACGAGTTCGCCGTGTTGAAGGTCAATTAAATTGGCGGCCCGTTGGCTGCACACTGATGTGACCTTCATGCGAAATGCAACGAAATGCCGCCCAGCTGCTGGGCTGGGCTGCTTAATTGTCCCGCTAGCCAGGTGTCAGTGGCTTGTTGAAAGTTTCGTGGAACCGGCCGAGCTGCAGCGCCGGCCAGAAAATTGTTTACCACAACTTTTGACACTCGCAACAGGGTCAACAACAACTGGCAGGAGTTTTGAATTAACGTGTTTGTGTATCAGAGGGTACGCAAATCAATGGAGCTGCCGCAAAATGTTGCACACATGCAAATGTGCGCCAGCTGCCCGCCTCAGGCTATTTATAGACCGAGCTATGCATCGACTGCCCCATTGCACACCTATGCACACCTGAGCGTGGGTAGCTGTGGCGCATGTCTCACAGTTGAATCGCAGCTAATTAAGCATTGAATTGCCAGCTGTGAACTTCTCGTTGCAATGCAAAGGAAGTTCAAGTTCTTCTCTTATTTTGTCGTTTTACAACACTGCTGCTATGCATGGATTTCTTGACAGAGGCTAGGAATTGCTTGTCAAGAACTTGTGCTTCCTGGCTCAACCTAAGCAACTATGCTGCTGCTCACTGAACTCATTTTTATGTATAGTATTGTTAATAACACTATTATTATAAGCAGCGCAATTGTTGCATTGGAGGCCTTAGCTTCTGTAAACACTCTAGCTATGAGCTATGTCCAGTTTACGAACCACAAGGCGTGGCTAGTTGACTTGAATCAACTAGCCAAACTAAGAACAGTTAAGTTCCCGTAAGTATAGAGGTCATTGCCAACGAACGACCCATCTAGCGATATACCAATACATGTATGTATGTGTTTATACATATAGCACTGCTATGCGGTGCGTCCCCCAACTACAGCCACACATCTTTACCAACAAGACTTTGTTGCGCAGCACCTGAAAATGCGCGTGTGGTCGAGGAGATAGCTAAGTTCCGTTTCGCATCGACTTTTACAGGATACACAAGGATGACTTTGGGACGCAGCGTGTGTACAAGAAGACGTCGCCGAATTGCGTGATCACGCTCTATTTGCCAACGCGCGAGATAATACTCAGCGGCAACAATCCATCGGTGCTGCGTGGTATAGTCTATGTGGACCCGAAGGCCATTCAAGGATATCGCGTTTATGCGCAGCTAACTCTGACATTTCGGTAAGGTAGACCCACACGACACCGACCTAACCATCCTCCATCCTCGTCCCCCCCTCCAGCACCAGGACGGTGCGAACCGCTTGAAATCGAACTTGTGGAGCCGTCGCTGTCGCTGTATGTCCAGCTAAAAGAGAGTTCATAAATAATCGCTCGGCCCTTTCTCGTTGCAGCTATGGGCGCGAGGACGAGGAGGTGATGGGCCTGCGTTTCTGCAACGAGGCCATTATGTCGCTGCATCAGATTTGGCCGCGCCTCGAGGAGCCCTCGCCTGAAACGCTCAGTCCACTTCAGGTAAGTTGCAAGCAGAAAGCAGCAAGCGGCAAGCCGCAAGCAGCGTGTCAACGTTGCAATCATTGTAATTGAAATTATGCAGTGCGCACTACACAGCTAACCAGACCAGCCGCCCCAACGCCACAACAACCGACCGGCCACTACCCACACCTTCAGACTCCTGCCACAGGCCCCACACTCAGTCGCATTCGCTCATTGACCGGCTGAAGTGTCAGTTTGTGTGTTGTTGAGCAGACACTTTAGAGGCGACGAGTGCGAGACGAGCACTCGGCAAACCAGTGGAGCACTTCTCAAAGTAGGTGGCAGGCAGCGGGAGGCGGACAGCATGCAGCTTGACTGCGAAGTTTCTAGCGCTATTAAAACTGATAGGCAAACTCGGCGAGCGAGCGCAATTTAATATATTTTTATTTTGTTTTTCTTTCATTTTGTTTTTTTTTTTTTTTTTGGCTTAACTTTGCGCTGCTAGCTCAACAAACTGTCTAACAGCCACAGCAGCAGCAACAACATGTGGCAGCTGCTTCAGTGGCACATAAATTTTAGCACCTCTGTGCAGAAGCAGCGCAAGCAGACTTGCAGAAAAGTTAATGAGAGAGGAGAGAGTGGGAGAGAGAGAGGGAGAGGGGAGAGCAGAAGGAAAGTGTAACTTAGTTATATATAGATATATGGAAATCCCTTGGAAACTGCTYACACGAAAAGCAACTGCAATATATTAACTAAGATATTTACTGTAGCTGAATTCCAGGGTATGTGTTAGTCATGCATTTGTGCACACAGCAGCGCTCGTTATGTATTCACTGTGGCTGCATTTTGAAATAATTGCAAACGCTTGGAAATTGATGGCGCTCTGGTGTTTTGTTCCCTGCTTAGCTCAGATTTAAAGCGAGCGCTACAAAGTATGTTATACTCTTTCCGGCTAGATAAGACGCAGAGAGAAAGAGAGGATGGCAGAGGGAGTGAGAGTGACGAAATGGGGTGAATGGGGGGAGGAGGGCAGGCGAATATCTGCTGTATATTGTTGCTGTAGCTATTTTGTTGACATTTTACGTGAGCTCCTGACGCTGTTCTCCTGCTCGACTCCTGCCGCTCGCTCGTCATAGATTTAAAGACGGCAATTTACTGCACTTAAACCAATTGAAAATCAATTTCATTTAACTAAAAGCTGTACAAATGTTTGCGATTCCCTTTTGTATTGTTTTTCGCTAGCATACTTTTGTGTACAGCAGATAGACAGATAGGGAAAGGAAGAGGCTGAGATTGAGATTGAGAGTGGGAGTGGGAGTGGGCATGAGAGCGAGAGTGGTAGCCCAGAAAGAAGCTTCAATTTGAACTTTCCCTTTTATTAAACTTGACATGGCAATCATTTATTTAGCCATCATATTTTTGACAGCCAAACTCACCAAAATTCGGTTAGGCAATCAGTTTACAGTTCGGAACTCTCCGTTTGCAGTCCTTGGCTGCCAACTTTCATTTTTCTCGCTTGTCTTGACCGATTTGCATAATATATTTAGTAACTTATTTACTGTTGGCTGCCACTGCCACAGCCTCAACCTCAACCACAGCCAGAGCTACAGCCATAGCCACTGCCACTGCCTCCGTTTTTGCCTCCGCGTCCGCCTCCGCCTTTGCGTCTGCTTCTGCTGAGCGCTTAAAACTGAAACACAAACATGCATAATTAAATAAATTTGACTTTAATAAGTTGCTGATGGCAGCGGCAAAGTATTTCGCAAATAACACGGCTCAGAAGGCCGGACGCAAAGCGAAATGCCGAAGATATTTAATAGAATAATATTGTGTGCGTCCGCCGACAGCCAGATGAAAGAGAATTTTTCCTAATGAATTCATGGCAAATATGTTGATAAATTGATCTAAATATGGCTGAGCTAAGCTGACAATCGATGACAGATCTGATGAGATTATAATGGATGCGCCAGTGTTGCTGTCCATGGCAGACACAGTAGGGGATATAGCAGTGTTGGAAAACTATCAAATCAAAGAACATAAGTATATAATGCAAATCAAAAAATATAAAAGCACTATAAGAAATCTTCTTCTTATAGTGCTTTTTGTTGCAATAGATACCGTGAAAGAACTCTATGTCAAAGAAGGTAAAGAGATTGTTAGACGACGCTGCAGCTTAGTCGACAAGCAGCTCTCAAGGATTTCGAGTCAAATAGTATAAAAAAACAATAAGAAGTACCTAATGCTTAAATGCAGACAGTTGTATAGGATTTTCATTCAAAGAAGATTAGGTAGGTGGAAGATTAGATATTAAAAGATGTATACAAAAATATGAGTTAAATTAGGGAGGAAAAGAGAGAGCCGTATATAAAATTAATGCATATAAAATATATAAGTAAGTCTAATGTATATAAGATAGATAATATTAGAGCTATTACTCTATCGATTCCGATAAGCAACTAGCAGAAGGCTAGCGAACAGATACTGGACAGAATATACTGAATATCGATAGTTCAATAAATCGATAAATTGTAAACTTTGCATCTCTAAAAAATCTCTAAAATATATCGAGCTCTATTTTAAGTTTCCAATTTATGAATCGATTGATAGATGGTATCGAAAAAATCGAAAATCCAGTTATTAATAATGTGACAGTGACAATTCTTGTCCCAATAATTCTCCCAGCTCAGCCAACCTATCGTTAATATCGCAATTCTATAGGAAAAGCACTTTTGCAACAATGGCTCACTTGATTTGTATTGGCTAAACGGGGATTTAGTTGGAAATATCAATATATTTGGCTGAGAACATCCAACTTATTAGCGCGGCAGTTAAATTTGTTGTCTCAATGATAAGCCAAGAGCTACATCTCTGCAACCCAAGGGGAATTTGTCTGACAATTGAGGCTTAAGAAGACATGCTGGGTGCTCCTTTCACATTCCGCAGCAACAGCCTCTTGTCCAACTCCTCCGCTCGTCTCTATTGGCTCTCACTTTCCCTCTCTCTCTCTCTCTCTCTCTCTCTCTCATTCCCTGTCATCTCTTGTTCGCCCCTTTTCAACCACAAATGGCGCTGAAAGAAGAACAAAACGCTTGCTGAGCCAAACAATTTGTGCTAGGGAATTGTCTTTAAATACTTTCCATTAAAATGCCGTGCAGAGTTTGAGGCAAAGTCAATGGGAAAGCGGGGAGGAGTAGTGGCTGGACTGGCCCTGTGGCTGTTGCCCATTAGTCCACACGATACGGGGAAACACGCGCCGAGGATAAGATATTTAGGAATAAATCCAAGGGCACCAGCAGCGTCAGGATCATCATGGTCAGGACCAATGCCACAGGGGCAGAGTCAGGGCCAGAGGCATCGCATTATACCGACTACATAATCAAATGCAAATGAAATGCCAAAAACAGCCGAAGATTTAACAAAAAGCATTGTTATCAAAGCCAAAACAAAGCCCGCAATTCAAATTGCCCGCTCCCCCAATCAAAGCGTCGAAGTGCATAATTAAAAACTAAATATAACCTTCAATAATAAACACACACACACACTCGTATACATTCTGCTAGACTTGTGTGAAAAGTACCTAAGCAATGCGGACTAAGGTCCTCCCTCTCTCTCTCTCTTATGAATTCGGTCTCTCCCCTGCAGCTTAACCTTGCGTTTGCTCTCTAAGGATGCGATAAGGAAGTTTGTCTGACTTCGTCGGTTAAGCCCTGGCATCCCTAGATAAGAATTTAATAAGTAAGTCTATCTGTCGTTTTCTATTGCCCTGACCTGAATACTGTCTCACCTTGATGGCCAGGATTTGGCTAAAATATCGGCTTCCCTTGACCTGAACGGCCTCTCTTGCTCCCTCCCTCTCGCTGGCCAATCAACCTATTCGATTTTCCTAGAAAATCAATTAAAGTGCGCATTTTCGAAATTCGACAATGCAGCTGATTGTGGCCTGACGCAATTGCTCTCTCGTTGCAGGAGGCCCTACTGAAGCGACTGGGCGATGGGGCTCATCCGTTCACCTTATCGCTGACCGCCCAGGCACCACCCAGTGTCCAGCTAGTGCCAGCCAAACGCTACTACGGAGCCCCCATTGGCACCAGCTACGACGTACGCTGCTTCATTGGTAAGTCTTTAGCTATATCTGTCTATATGGACTCCTGTACATATAGCCATTTGCTCCGAGGACACCGGAACCGGAGCTGCGCAGGTGATGTATGTCATCGAGGTAGAGCAACGTCATCAGGCGAAGAGTCAACAAGTATTGTGAATCAATGGGGGAGCATAGTAGGAGCTAAGTCAACTTCCGAATAGCACTAACTCAACCCACTAAGAGCTCTAGGCGCTACAGCTTGAGCAATTTGTCTATTGAAGCTTTGACTCGAGCTTTTTCCATCACTTTCAGCTAGAGTCATTGCGACAGTCATGGAAGAGATCTACTAAAACTTTTGCTTAGCAAAGGCTATAGAATTTTAGCAGCTTTTTCAAAATAAAAAAAAAAATAAAAAGTTATTTTTCCATCGCAGCTAGAACTATCCGCAAGGTAAGTAAAATATGGACTTGCAAGTCAGCAAGATTTTAAAGACAATCGACGAAATATCATCAATCTGTAGGAGATGCAAGTGAAACGCTTCACTGCAAGAATATGAAAATGCCCTGGGAAAGCTTTAGAGTTTTTGTTTTAGTTACAGTTTACCTTTTTTTTGCTGCTCAGCTTAAGATCAATATAGCACACAGCTTACTTCAATGCAAACACACACACACACACATTTCCAGGTTTGACATTAAATTAAGCTTAGCTATAATTAACCAGCAAACATTACCTTTCCTCCATCCATCACACATCATCAAGCCATTGCCAGCGCCATTCGAATCGAATCGTGAGTATCTCGGGCAGCGAGTCGCTCTCTCGGGCACAAGAAACGACTTATGCGAGGCACGCTCAATCAAATTACATTTACAGCCTATTTATATTGATGACCACGCCCCCACCAAAGCCTTTTTTTTTTTTTTTGTATAACAAAAGAAAAAGAGAAAACCAGATCCCACTACGCTTGCTGCACCTGCTGCTGCTGTTGACGTCAGCAAGTTTGATGTGAGAGAATTGTTCTCTTCTCTCTCTCTCACTAGCTCACTCGCTCGCTCTCTCTCTGTCTCTCTCCTTCTTGTTTCATTTTTGATTGATTTTGATTAAATTTCATTTTGGGTTTGCCGTTCAGTTTGCTTACTGCACTGTGTTAGCTGCTCTCGATCGGGTCTGACCAGCCAGCCGATACCCTTCATATAAAGGGAGGGAAGCGCAATGAATCTCACTTGTTATTGCTCTGCCTGCTTGGCACACACCTTTGGCTGAATGCGCATTTACAGGGTATGCGAATGGAATCAATATCTAATGTAAATGCATGCCTGTTAAGCATTGCGCGGCTGTTTTACCTTCGACCACTCGAGCCATTCGGATTTCAATTCCGTTTTGCGATTTCTGATGCTCCCRATGCCTTCCGTCTGCCTTTTTTCGATTTCCTTTGAGTTATTTTCATTTTGCCATTTCTTTTTTCCTTCTCTTCTTTTTGTTGTTGTTGGCTTTCTTATTTCAATTGCCGCCGGAGCCATAGATCCTTGGATGCCTGCGCGCATCCCCGTCGCCCCTTTCGTTTGTCTTTCGGCAACCGAATCGAAATGAATACCTGCGTACTACAGCCAAGAATCGCCCGAAGGACGAACCTAACCGCCAGCTCATAGAGCTCGCTCGGTAGGGGCTTAGCGATTCGAAATGAGAGCTAATGAGAGAACTGCATGCTTTTTAACAACATTTTGTTTTACTCCGCACAATACAATCGGGACTTAGCAGTATGATTTTCAAGATATATGTATCTATATATATGTATATACATGTGTATATATGTATATCTATATACATACAATACATATACTTATGTATGTGCAAACACTATGTTGCCTGTTAACAGTTAATATCATTTGGAATAACAAAGGACATGGCATATTCTGTTTAATAACAACTCCCCTCCCCCCTTCGAGCAGTCGCCCGAGGCGCCGTACATCCTATGTGCGTGTGCTCAAGTATGAAAAGAAGTGCGCTTAACGGCCGCCTGGAGCCGCCTCCGCTGGAAAACGGACCAGCTGCTAGTCAGCTAGCCGGAGCGCCCTCTAGCGGTTGTCAGCGTTAACAAAAACTGGCACAAAGGTGAGCTCAGGCCGGGCCAGCCTAGTAGCCCACATAAATCGCTGTTCGCTCCATTGTTTTGCTTTAATTATGTGCGCCAAGTAGAAGGACTGTCCTCATTATGGATCATCTACCCAAGGAATATTGTTTTTTGTTTTTCCTTCCAGCTCAGCCACATATTTCTTCTTTTATTTTTATTTTTTGAATGCAGTGTTAAACGCAATGCGAACCGGTTCTGAGACCGTCTTGAGCCCAGTTGAAACGGTAAAATCAACCATTTTGTTGCGAATCGCTTTGAGCTGGCCTCAACACGGTCTCGAGCCGTCCTTCAAATGCAACTAGACACCTTGCATCTCCCTCTTCCTCTTCGCCATCCTTGCGCCCTCGCATCGGCTCTGCGTGAAACAGGCCAACGTCCACGATCTTGGCTCTGTGCAAGCCTTTACCAATGCTTAATTATCAAAGGGAAGCGGATAATGAAGCATTGCGTCACATTTTATTCAGACTCATGCCATAGCCTCTTGTTTCCCCAATAACTGAGTCACAACACATTGTTTTGAATGTTTCTGATTTTTAGCGAAAGCTAACCTAAATTCATTTTTCATTTAATAAATTTGTATTTATTTTTTATTTTGTAAAACGAAATTGAAATCCGTTTAGTCGAAAAAAAAAAGAACGTCACATATCTTTTTGCTGATTCGGCCATAAAATTTGTCATCTTCATTTCAATCTATGAGAGCTTGAAAATGTCCTTCTCCATCATCTCCAGCCGTTGTTTCCTTTGTTGCTTTGTACTCCCTTTTCACTTTTCATTTCTTACGTCCGATAGCTTTTTTTTCTCGTGCTCGTTTTATATTCTTGCTGCTTGTAACAGCAGTTTTGCAGCTTGAATTGAAGAAGAAGTGAATCGCCATCAAAGTTAACCATGCTTTTTTTTCAGTGTGCAATTCGATTACTGAATTATTGAAGTCTATGAAGCGTCCCTGACTCGTATGGACATAGATATGTTTATCAAAAGTCTAACATTAAAATAAAACAAAACTTAAACAAATTAAAGGTTTTCTTGTGTTGTATGTTGTGTTGTATCACGATTAACCAATAACGATTTACGATTTACGATTTACGATTAACGATTGACGATTTTCCATTTTCGTTTCTCGATATACGACTGTTGATTTTTGAGTTTTGATTTGTGATTTGTGATTTGTGATCGTTGATTGATTTCGTTTTCTGATTTACTGTGCGGCGCTGTTTGAATGTGAATGTCTTTGCTTATGCTTATCGCACTTTACGCACTTATCGCACCCAGTTCGCAAGCGCCGTAAGCCTCTCTGAGCCGATCCCCCCACAGCACAGGGCATGACGCTAAGCCAGATGCGGCGGCACAGGCAGAGGCAGAGACACATTCAGAGAACCAATGTTCTGACCAGATTCACGGCACGCATGTGGCGCAGCCTTCGCTGCTGCTGTCTGTGCAGCCCGGTTCGAGGTAAGCGGCACGATTCGTCCCATTGCCACAGTGTCCTCTGATGCCTGGCCAAAAACATTCAATTCAATTGTCGTGTAATAACTTGTATTGTCCTCTGTGTTTTTCCTATTTTAGTATCAACGTATTGATGTGACTCCACTTCGTTTCAGTTCACCTTCAGTTCAGTTGCTGTCTTGCTGTCTCTGTTTGTGTGTGTGTATGTGTATGTGTGTGCGTGTGTGTGTGTATGCGAGTATTTTTATAAATTTATATAATTAGATATAAGCTTAATGGTCAGTCCAACTTGATGTCTTTTCAGTGTTGCCGCTTCATGTCTTTAATCTATCATATAGTCATATTTTCATTCATACATCTCTATCTCTATCTCTATCTCTATCTCTATCTCTATCTCTATCTCTATCTCTATCTCTATCTCTATCTCTATCTCTATCTCTATC